GGACGAAACAAAAAAGACACCACAAGGGTCTGCTCTCTAGTAAAGGTAGTAGTTATAAAGTTTGGAACACACACAGCATATTAGTCCTTCATTTCGTCATCTTAAGTTCTGGAGATGTGAAAAAAAAAAAAACAAGGTCGGAAGAAGAGAAGGTGATAAAATTTGCCAAAAGATTATTTGCTAGGTACATATATTAACAAAAAAATAATTCAATTGCATAGATTTTATTTTTGATTGATCATAATTTAAACAATCTTCCATTTAAAGAAATATATTTAAATAAAATCAAGCTTCCATTTTAAATAAGCTTCCATTTTTTAAAAAATTATATATATACACACTATACATTTGGTAGGTACATTTATTAAAAAAAAAAAAAAAATCAATTACATAAATCTTATTTTTGATTGATCAGAATTTAAGCAAGCTTCCATTTTAAAAAAATATATATTCAAGCTTGGACTTTAAACAAGCTTCCAATTTTGTTTATTTTTATTATATATACACACTATACCTTTGGTAGGTACATTTATAAAGAAAAAAACAAGTTGGTACATTTATTAAGAAAAAAACAAGTAGGTAAAATTATTAAGAAAAAAACAATTGAATTACGAAGATGTTATTTTTGATTGATCAAATTTTAAACAAGCTTCCATTTTATGTAATTTATTTATCAAATCTAAAAAAATTAAGCAAATTTATTTAGAAAAACCCAAACAATTTATATATATTATATATAAAAAAGTAGTGCCGGGGACCAAGTCATCCAGTTGGCACGCCAGATGGTGGGGCCCCTCCAGTATTGAGCTCGGCAATAATGAGAAGCAAAAAAATTCTATTATTAAGATGTTTGTAATGATATATTTTATCAATGTGAGATTTTGTTAAGTATTCAAATTTTTAAGAATCAGAAAGTATTAATGTTGCTATCAAGTTATTCAGCCATGATTGCCCAACTTGACGGGTCTACCCCATTGAGAAATTCAACCCTGATGGTAAATATTGAATCGGCACTCTTCCTTGATTTAGGCCAAGTAAACTAGAAATATCAAAGATCGATCAATTCTACTCCATGTTAATTGACTCCTTAATTGATTGAACAAATGCCACAAACACATAGATTTACTTGAATATTCAGAAGATTGTTTTAATATTTTCTGAGTCTGTCACAGTGAATAAAAATTAATAGATCTCTCTCTCTCATTTGGCATATGAACAAATTTGGACTTGGATTCACTTATAAGCTAGATCCACCTAAACATATGAAAATTAAAAAAGTAAATCAAGAAGGGTGTAGCAGAGTGATTGACACTGATTTTTATCTGAAAATTTTGATGGTGAGAGGGAGAGGCACATAATACTCTCTCACTAAAAACCACTCTACAAAACCAGCCCCCCCTCTCTCTCTATATCTTCATATGCATTTTTTTGGGTGAAAAAAAAAAAAAAACAGAAAAAGAAAAAGAAAAAGGGAGAGGACTCATCAATATATGTACTAGTACTAACATGGCAACATGCATGCATGTAAACACCACACACACACACAGGTGGCTTAATTGAAAACCAGAAGTTGACTTAGAAAATATATAGTTTGGAAAAAAAAGGTATTGAATAGTCTGATAATTGCGTGACAGATGTAAGACAGGACCAGTGCATGTACCCATGGGTAGATCATGAGTTAAAAAAATTAAAGAAAATTGTATAATCAATATTAATGTGTAACTATAGAGAATTATACTATACAAAAGTCTCATTTGTATTAAAACAGAAAGTATTGCAATATATCTATATATATATATATAATGATTTCCAGTATCTTGTGTGTGTGTAGACAGTAGATATATATATATATAAATCGAGAGGCAATCACCAAGGAGTTATTTATCATGCTATGCAGATTGCAGTCTTTAAATCAAGGAGCGCTCCATCGTTTTCAAACACATTGACTGAATGTCCATGAAGTTCTTCCATTTTTTAAATTTTTTTTAAGCTCTGTTTGTTTGAAAGTGAAATATTTTTAATTGTTGTAAAATATTTAGGAAACAAAATAAATATTAAAATTTAACAAAATAATTATATTTAGGAAACAAAATAAATATTAAAATTTAACAAAATAATTTACATATCAATTTTTGAAAAGTTATTTTACATGTCTCGTTCCATGGACTCGTCCTTAGACCTTTATTAAACACCGAAAAAATAAAAATAAAAAAAAATATTTTTCGTTAAAACAAACGGAACCTTAATATTAAAAAATATAAGCACATATATAAATATATATTTCTTTGTGACTTTGTGAGAAAAAAAGAGACTAAAAAATTAATGACATTATGATCACCAATAAGAAATTATTTAACCTGCAAAATATGACTAAGCAACTGATTAATGAGGCACATAAGTAGTGGTCCATTACTGTTACCTCGAGATATCGGTACTGCTGAACTAAAAAAGGAAGAAATTATATATATATATATATGAGACCAATGGAGAAATAGAAAAGTTTATCATAAAGCCTTGAGCTGTACTACGATCAGTTTGTGGCACAACGCAAAGATCAGTATATTGAGGCTGACATGAGAAGAAGAGAGCCAAATGTAGCCAAGGACAACTTGCCGGAGTATGATTGATCGATGGCATGCCGGTGATCACTTGCCGGCAAGTCATCCTTGGCTGCAATCCACTCTCTTACCTCTTCATGCAAAACTCCCATACGCATATATATTTTAGCCAACTCCTCTGGTTCTGTGGTGTGTTAGTGTTGAAACACACACATATATATAAGAAGGAATGGTTATGGATAAATGGGAATTTTCCTGGAATATCAATATATTCTCAGCCCAAAATCAATTTTCCAAAGAGGTTAGTTATTGCTGTGCCACCCAAAGGGAATGACTGAAGATAGGCCCTTGAAATCATCCATTTTTTCGTGTCATCCAAAAGTTTCCTCTTATAGTTGGAGCAACTGTTGGCTCTAGCTAAATTAATATGGTCCCACTTGGTGTAGAGTAAAGTTGGTCTTTAATTGGTTTGGTTGAATGCTTAGTGGGAATAGAATCACGCCAGAAATTTGTCATGCTTCGAATGTGAATGTCAATGGGGGTTTTGATGCAATATTTTGGAAACTCAATGCACCCTCTTGTAACAATCTTTTTTTGATCAGTTAATTTATCATTTTACTATTTTGCCCTTATAAAGAATATTTTAGAATTTCGACATCCCGATGAAGATAAAAAAGCACTGAATTACCATATAAACAAAAAATATTGAACTAATAGTATTGATTGTAATTCTAGGGACATGGTTTTATTACAAAAACTTGGTTTGAATGCCTTGGAAATATCCAATATCTGATTGGTTTGTCTACTAAATTCGCAAATAAAATTGAGATCATGTAATAATGACAAATTATACAATAAATAAAAAAAAAAACTCCAATTTATTAAAGAATAAGAAAAAGAAAACAAGTAGAGCAAGCGACAAAAGCTATTGGGGGAATCCTTTTGCTTTGTTGTTTCGCTAATTGTAGAGTCAGTGGGTTTATTTCTGGCTATTCGCGTATGGTGGTTTCATATAAAATCGAGGAAGGCAATAGCTTTGATTGGTGGAGAAATCAGAGACTTTTGATGCTAATATTCGGCCAATCAAATTGTTTCATATCTTTGACCACCATTTGGATTTTATGCACTTGATTCTTCATTAAAGAAACTTTTCTCATGTTCGTGTTTGATAATGGTTTTATTTATTATTGTTATTATTATTTTTTGCCGCCTAGGAGTAGTTTCCGTAATTCAAATGTCTTCCAACTAATCAGAATCAAGCAATCCCAAAACTTCAAAAATATATATACTCCTATGTTTTTTTGGGGCATAAATTCCATTAAATAAATAATAAAAACAAAAAAATTCTATTATTTTTTATGTGCATATAAATCTCTATGGTTTCAATATTTGGAGTAAATTATCCCCTAATCAACTTTTACAATTTTTTTTTGGACAAAGTACACTGACCTCCCTGATATTAGAACAAATTACATATACGACAATTGACCTTTATTACTTTAATCTAAGCGACACCTCCGGCCATTAATGAAAATTCAAAAATGACTAAGTTGTCTTTTTTCTTATGTTAAAAGATCTCAATAACCTTACATTTTAAATGGGAACTGAAGTGTCAATGAAATGCAAATTGGGGAGTATTAATTTTCATACAAATTTAATATTATATATATATATATATATATATATATATATATATTTCCTAAGTTTTTTATTTTTTATGGTTTGATTAGGTTTCTTTTTTCTCAAGTGGTATGGTAATATTGTTTTTACAGGAAGGGATAAAAAGAAGGTAATTGTCTCCCCCATCAAATCCTTTATTTCAAAACCCTAATCACAGCCACTCCCCCCCTACCCCTCCGCCTCCACCACTGCTTGCTGCCGCCGCCACTCCCCACCTTCTCTCCACTCTCCCTCCCTCCCTACGGCTTCCTAATTTCTTCTAACTATATTGTACTATTTTATATCACACACACATATATAATATTTGTAACATCACATATGAACATAGGCTCTTCTTTGCCTGAAACCGAGGCTCGATCAAAAGCCTTTGCTTGGGCCAAAATCTGGTACCATATATATAAAAAGAGAGATTGAAATGAAAACCATAGAGGGATAAATTGTTCAGATGGAAGATATGACTATAAAAATAAAAAATAATAATAATAAAAAAACTTGTTAAAGGACATTTTTGCTTTATTCATCATAATTCTCTACTATAATCTGAGTACCAAATCTTTAACACCAGTCTCTTCACTGCTTACACCTAACTCTCCATATCATGTTATATCTCCATCATACTCAAAGATATAGCACACAAAAGCAATCCACAAAACAAATATACATTTTAAGAAGTTAATTAGACGGCTAACAACAGGCGGGCCAAACGACATTGTGACACTGAACAAAGCAAAAGCAATGAGTTTAAGACTAGATGAGAGAAGGTTTTTCTTTCAAATACCTTAAGCAGCAAAGATGTTCCCCTCATAAAGCAAACATCAAGAATGGGCTACTTACAAGGTTAAGATCATCTTCCAAAAGCATTTAAGCTAACATACATACAATGTCCTTTCTTTCATTTTTTACCCTGAATGTGGTAAAATTTTATTGATACAAAAGTACAGAGAAGCAGCCCTTAGGCACATAACAAGAACGATAAAAACATACCATCCAAGGCAAATTATATTTAGAAAATAGGTTGCAAGCTAGCCTGCTCCAAGTTCTGCAGATGGAGCAGAGCATCACAAAGTAAGAAATCAGCAAACCAGGCCCAAACTGATTTGGCCAGAGAACAAGACCAAAATAAATGGTCTCTTCCATCTTCAGCTCCAAAACAGTTGTGACAAATTGAAGACAAGGAAATCCCTCCCTTTTTTTTTTTTTTCTTTTCAAATCAATTATAGAAGGATGAGCATTCTGCAATATCAGTGCTACTGCAACAGAAACTCTAGGTCTGCAATTGTTTCAAGCAAGTTTGTACCAGTCAACTCTTTCATTCCAAATTCTACAGTGATTCCAAGCTGACTTAAAGTTAAACTTTCCATGGTTCCAAAGGATCTGCAAAAGAGGAAAATCTTCTGAGATGTTGCAAAATCTCACCAGGCCATTCTGTTGGAATGGTCCATTGATTCCCCTCCAAAAGGACAGAGACACCATCATTTCTCTAAACACTGAGCCACTAAGTCTTCTATAGCGATACAAGCTCATAATTGACTTTCCATCCAGCCAAGGATCCAGGAATAAGCTAGTATCCCTACCAGTACCAATCTGGAACTCCACATGGTCAAGGGGATGGGTTCAGGACAGGTTTGAGTGAACCCTACCCCACCCTGTTAAGAAATACTACACCTATCTCGATTAAGAAATAGGGATGGGTTTTTGGTAAGAATACCATCCCCGTCCCAGGAAGGAAAGAACTCGGGCCCAATTGTATGATCTCTCCACCCCTTTAGTGTGTGTGTGTTGAGAGTTCAAGTCCCACTAGGGACATGTGGATAATAGGTGTGTGTTTGCTTGAACCTTAAAATAAAATCCTTTATTGGGATTTTTAGACTTTTTCCCACCAGAGATGGCAGAAAGTAGAGTAAATTACAAAAATTCCTTATGCTATTAAAATTTTGCAACCAACCCTCTAAAACTATCAAAAGTTGCAGCCAATCCCTTATCATTATGTATCAATTAACGACTATCAAAATGACCTTAACTTTGTTCAAAAATAATTTACAAAAATTCCTTATGCTATTAAACTTTTGCAACACACCCTCTAAAACTATCAAAAGTTGCAGCCAATCCCTTACTATCATGTCTCAATTAACAACTATCAAAATGACCTTAACTTTGTTCAAAAATAATAATAAATGAATAAAAATAAATACAAAACAATGTACATTACTATTTTTTACTTCACTTGTGCCAAAAGAACAAAATTTGAACGTGTCATGGAACTTTTGAAAATTTTGGAAACTTGGACTAAAAAACTTTCAAGCATTTTCATTCACATCTTACTAAAAAGAAAAATAAAAGTAGTATTTGCATTCCCTATTTATCTTAGCATCAAATTAGAGCAATATAATAACAAAAAAGAAGAAGAATTTGAAGCTAAAAACATTGACTCGAGTTCATAATGACTAATTAGTAAAGAAAGCATGCAAAACCTGAGTAAAATAATATATCACCAAAGATTTAAAAGTAAGAAGAAGAAAAAAGGAGTTAGCTACCTAAGGACAAAACTTCACAAAATTTAAAGTAAAGTTTATTGAGGAGCCAATTTTCAGCAAGCAAGTTGTTATTGAAGAGCCCATTTTCTTGTTGATATGCATGGAAATTGAGCTATTTTTTACATTCATAATCAAAATGATGGCACATGGAAGATGTAGTGATTTAGTACTTAAATGAAAAAAATCTCAAAAGTAAGACTCCCTAAAGAAAGTTTTTAGAATTTATTTGTCTTTCAATGAGAAAAATAGGACTTGGTAGTAATTTACCCTAAGATAAAGTTTCAAATTAATTACCATAAGCAGCACCAATGAATCTACAGGTTACAAAGAAAGTTTCAACTAAACATTAACAAAAAATTATCCAAAGGTGACTATAATCAAGAAAAAGAATAAAAAATTACAAAAAAGAACAATTCAAATATCATTATTAAAGTTATCTGCATTAAAAGGACCAAAAACACAAATATCTCTAAAGATCATATGATTACAGCACAAAAATTAGAGAGCACAGATAAAAAATTACAAAAATTAGAACTAAGATATCAGTTCTAATACAAGTATTAACTGTATTATGCTGAGAATTCAATTATTGGTTGAGCTTTAACACATTTGTAGATTGAAAATGAGAAATTACTGGAAAAAAGTAAAAAAGACATGACATCACACACAAACCTGTTTAATTAAACTCAAAATTAGATCCGATGTGAAGAAATTCTGAAATAGAGTTCTGCACTCAATTTATTAAAGCACCGAGAGTATTGGTTATACATTCCAAAAATTATGCCAAAAGTCTGTAAATGAAAATTTAGTTAAATTAGCGAATATTAGAAAAACAAAACAAAGACAAAACCCTTACTGTAGCGAACTTGAGTTTTTTTAGGTCAACCTTGTGATGACTCATGAATCATGATTGAGTCCAGTATTATATTAGTTAGGTCCATTCTCAAAATACAACTTATCTGATTGCTCAATTTGAATCCGATAATATAGAAAGGGGTATAAATTAAGCAAAAATGCAACAGCTCGTCCTCTTATTGGAAAGTATACCGAAAGTGTTAGATTGAATTAGACTGAAATAGCTTCACTAATTTGAATAGCAATCTAACCCTTTCCTCGTTCCGTTTGGGATTAAAACCTTAGTTATTTGCAAATCTTCACCAAAATGCGAGTCTGAAACAAAACCACTGGAATTAAAAACCCTAAGATTCGTAGATGACAAAAAACTGCAAAACTCAATCATAACAATGAGAGAAAATAAAATGTTGAGTAGATAGAGAAACGTATATATAGATAGAGTATGCAGAGTGTAAACACACGAAAACAGAAAACCCTAAGTTTGATCGTTATGAAATCGTACCTCACGAACCCTCTCCTTGCTCTCAATGGCACAGCTTCGTCTTCGATATTAAATGTGTGGGATTGTACAGAGAGAGGAGACGGAATCTACCGAATTTGTGTGTTGTCTGTGGGCTATATGTTTGTGACTCGTGGTGGGGAAATTTGAACCAATGAGTGTTATTTCTGGTGCAACTTGGGTTGAGTAACCGAACCCAATTCAAGCTCTAACTCGATTTTTTATGGGCTTCGCCAATTATTTTTATAATTAGAATTACCTTTGGGTTAAAAAATCTCAACCCAATTTTAATTATGATTGGGCTTAGGTTGAAGTACTAGTAATTCGAGTCAACCCGAACCCGAATTCTAATATTAATTTAAATACATTATATAAAAAATTTAAATTATGATTACTTTTTCTTTTTTTTCAACTTTTTTTTTTTTTTTTTGTTAAATCTTAACTTATTGCATGTTAGCATTTAAGAAAATTAATTTTTTAAAAATTTATTTGTAATTTATTAAAAATTTACAAAAAATCTTTAAACTTTTTCTTGTTTTAGAGTAATTTAATCTAAAACTAATTCAAGATCATATTAAATTTTTGGTATAAAGATTAGTCATATGAGTAACCCGAAATAATCCGAAATTTTAACCCGGAATATAAGCCAGAGTTGCAAGCCCGAATTTAAAAGTAGAAGAATGGGTTGGGCTCGGGTTAAGTAGTTAAGGTTGATGATAGGGTTAGGGTTGAGCTTGGGTTTAGCATTTCATTTGGTGGATTGGGCTCAAGTATACTTCAAACCCGTCCAACCTACCCGAGTTGCAGCCCTAGTTATTTCCAACCAATTGAAATTAATCAAGGCTCGAAGACTATTTTGGGTGGTCCACAAAGTCTCCGAGGTTTAACATAATCTTCTACTTTTAATTTTTTTTTTTATTATTTTAAATCCTCTTGAAAAAAAAAAAAAAAAAAAAAAAAAAGAAGAAGGTTTAACATAAAATTTTGTAACTATCAAATTTATTACAAAGTCATGCAATAATCAAGAAAATTCCCTTTAATATAAATTTTTTTAAAAAAATTCATTTTAGGTTTTAATTTGTTTGTATTTTTTTAAAAAAATTATACACCATTAAAGTAATGTTATAATAATAAAAATTCCCTTCATCTAAATTTAACAAAAATTAAGTTTACTTTAAAACGATTTCTAAAAATTTTAAAAATTATTTTAAGATATTTTTATTTTATTATAAATTCAATGTTAAAAAATAATAATAACAACAACACTGTGACAATTGAGTTATTTGTATTAATTTTAAGTTAATATGAAAAGATATTATTTTATATAATTTATATTAAGAGATAGTTTAGTCATTATAATATCTCTTTGTCATAAATTGATAGTTTAGAGATTTAGACAGGTTTATTGTCAACATTTTTCTTCAAGAAATTTCTTACCAAAAGTTGAAAGTAAAAGAATTTTTTTATGCAATTTGTACATACATGTATATATATATATACACACACAGAGTAGTGTTCAATTGCTCCCTAGTGAGCAAGAGCAATATACTCACTTTTACTCATAACCTTAGAATCTAATTATACAGCTAATTGAAACAATAATTATTTTAGATAATTGTCTTTCTTTTAATTAGCCATTAATTATGAAATGACTATATTGGATACTTTTTTAAAAATAATAATAATAATATTTTTAATCTGATTAAACTTTAACTATGTCCCTTTTCACCACTGTCGATTTTTCACCACCACCCACCTCCTCCCTTGCTGCCACGACCACCTTCCCCAACCACACCACAACACTGCCACCTCCATCACCACCATACTGCCACCCACCACCACCACATACACCAATAATTATAAAGACGTCAATTAATTTGTAGTTTTGATAATTTTTAATCAAAAGTAGCTATCAAATCTGTCTGGGGTGGAGGTGGTGGTGGTGGTGGAGGTGGTAAATATATTTTTTTTTCTTTAAGAATGTATCCAATAGTTATTTCATAATTAATAGTTAATTAAAATAATATTAATTTCTTAAAATAATTATTCACCCTAGTACCCGTTGAATTAAATGTTAAGATTACGAGGAAAAGTGAGTATTAGAAATTGAACACTGCGCGCGCGCGCGCGTGCGCGAGAGAGTGAGAAACTTAAACTACATATCCCATCTATTATTGACCTATGCAGGTGCTCTCCATGTGCCTTTTGTACCTTCCCTCCTCTCTCTCTCTCTCTCTCTCTCCTCGCTGTACTCAACTAGATTCGCATCATGCTCGAGGCCACAAACGCCAAATCTTAATCACACACAATAATTTCTTTCCTTTTTTGGTTAAAGAATAAACTTCAAGCCATCCTTTCACACCAACTCAACTTTCGTTTTTCACCCAATTGATTTTTAATTGTTTTTGGCCTTTTCCATTTTTAAATGAAATATTATCACTTGTTAGCTAAGCTATCTCTCAAATAGTATTATGTAAAAACAGCATCTATCAATTGTTGACTTATCAAAATTGTCATTGTTATTATTTGTGTAGATAATAGAATAACCGCACATTGGATCATTTTTTACTTAGGCATTAAATCTAAACTAATCCTATCCGCATGGATAAATGAAAAGTAAAAATACTCGGTTATGTAAGAAAGTTTAATCAAATCCGAATTGAATAGGATCGGATCAGTGAATTGAAACTTTTAATGAGTTGTTATATTAAATTGAAAGAAATCAGATAAAAAAAATATTACATAAAACTGTATGAAAAATTAAACTTGAATAAATTTTTTATAAAAAAAAAAAAAAAAAAAATCGACAAAAATTCACAATATAAGAAGACAAACAGATTAAATTCATTAACAATAGCTAAAAAATGGGACAAGGATTATGTTTGTCAATAACATCTGAAGAGATATGATTTAAACACATGTAAAGAACAATAAGATTGATGAACTCAATCAACGTTAACATTCAAAAAATGTTATACAACTATAAAAAGGGAGAAGTCACGGATTGGTGAGATAGTGAACGCGAAAGATTTCAGTATTTTAAGGTGGTTGAACTCACAAACCTAGACTTCTAGTCATCCATCGGTGAGAAATATGATGGATGGTGGTGGAATCAGAGATTCCGGTATTTGGACTCACAAACTAGTAGTCTATTGATAAAAATTATGATGCTCGGTGTGAATAAATTTCTTGCACTAGTGAGTTTAAATGTAAAAAAAATTGTAAATTACTAAAAATAAATGAAGTCACTGGCCCTGCTATTTTGGGATCCTTTTGCTTTGTTGTGTGGCCAACGGTGAGTCACTGCAATTCTTGGGTTACTTTTTCTTGTTTGTCCAGTGGTTTCGTATAAAATCGAGGAAGGCAAAAGATTTGATTGGTGGAGAAATCAGAACCTTTTGATGCTGATTTTCCATGAGTCTACATGGAGCAATCAAAGTGTAGCATAGCTTTGACCACTGATTGGAAATAAGGAAGAAAAGAAATGAAAGAGAAATTTTTTTAAAGCTTGTAAATTCGTACATTAAGTTGATTTTTTTTTTTTAACTATAATTGACCTTTCAACAAAATTTCCTAGATTATTGATAGGAAAACAAGCATTTTATATAACTTCTAAACATTTTTAAGCTATAGGGTACTTCTACTCGATTATGATTTCTGATAAGCCTCCTAAATTACCTCCAAAATGTGCACTCTTACCACAACATTCCTCCCTGTAGCTCTTGCAACAGCCACCAATTTGTCTCTTCTCCAAACTCATACAAGCCTTAGATGCTGTACATTCCCAATGGTTAGTACCATGAAGTGGTGTGCTAGAGTCTGTACCATGCTTCTTACACTCCGAATGACCCTCGGAATTTGGTTGGCAGTGTCTGCAACTAGTCTCAACCACATTGCCTAATTCTTCATTGGTAGTGTGGTTATGTACATGGTTATCTACACAATGGATTTTGTGGCAATGACCGTTACTTGTTAAGCGCTCACCTTGTTCCAAAGAATTTACACCCGAATGATTATGCTCACTCCTTGAAGCCATATCATGAAGAACCAAGGTGTCGCAGTTCCGATGGTCAGTGTGTTCTGCCTCACGGAGCCCATTACCGTGTGCACAAACACTGTGATGTTCAACTGAGTTTGTGCAATTATCTTCCCCGCATGACCTTGACATGAAATGGCCCGAACATCCATGATTGTGTACACTGCCTAACCCCTTATCTTGAGTGTCCATGTCACATCTTTCATGATCTGAGGGCCTAGCCTCTTGCAACAGATCACCACTTGCACAACAACCATGTGTGACTGATGAATCCGAGCATTTGTTGTTCCCACATGAGCTTGGAGTGCCCTTCTGTGCTTGAGCTTCAGTATCAGAACAACAATGCTTGTGGCTATGGGATGGGTGGTTATTATCAGTGCTTTTGCAATGTCTATGGATGTGTGTTGTTGCAGAAGATTTGCAGCATTTTGTTCCATGATTATGAGTTCCTTGTAAAAGTAGCATGCTGTTGAAGATTACTATCAAGGCTGTTCCAACGTCAGCGAGAACTGCAGCCCAAACAAGCGGGTGACCAGAAAATGCCAATGCAAGTATGGCAACCTTAGTTGTAATTGAAAAAACCACATTCTCAATTACTTTCCTACGTGTTCTTCTAGCAAGTCGAGCAGCTTTTGGTATCTTCCGGATGTCGTTTGAGATGAGAACCACGTTCCCTGTCTCAGTTGCAAGTGCTGAGCCTGAAATGCCCATTGAGATACCAATATCTGCTGTAGCTAATGCAGGAGCATCATTTATGCCATCACCTATCATGGCAGTCGGCGCTTCCTTTTGAAAGTCTTTGATGATTCTTGCCTTGCCTTCAGGTAGAAGTTCAGCATGGACCACATCTAAAGCACACCCCAACTGCAAATAAAAATAATTTCCTTTTAATTAATCCATGAAAAATTGTCGTACCATGTTAACGATAATGTGTATTACACCGGGATGCTTCATTGAAAGATCACCTCATTATGTTTTCTCATAGGATCTAACATGAGTCTATTTTGTTCGTTATAATAACAAAAATGAGCCAAACTTGATTGCACAAAGGTTTTATTTGTATGATTAAAAGAAGAAAATTAAACGTTTTTTAAAATACATGTTGATAACTCCATTATTTTACTGGAAAATACGCAGGGGATGCTAAAAACAAACGAACCTTATTTCGATTAGATGAATGGTATGGCATTAGGATTTTATGCAAGATCAGGCTCACCTAAATTAGCAATGCTGACAAATCCAAAAGCATATACATAACCATTCATTATGATTTGATAGAAGCCAATCAAAAACATGAAATGGTCGAACCGGGACCATGTGGATGCAATGGAACTAAGCTTGAACCACAACTCAAACATATTTTAATCAAAATTTTCAGGGCTTAGAAGTTTTTATCATACATGACAATCAAGCTAAACACAAATTAGGGACTAGAATTTCACCTGGTGTTGTGCATACATGGCTGCTGCATGACTATCACCTGTAAGCATAGCAGTTTTGATGCCAATTGACTTCAGCTCTTGGATTGCCTCCTTGACTCCAGTTCGACAAGCATCAGATAGGCTGAAAATTCCTGCAGGAGTTGCTCCTCTGAATATGTATCCAATGGACTTCCCTTCCTTGGTATCATCATCTAAGGTTGGAACTGAAAGATTGAAGATGTGAAACAATAAGAACAAAACAAGAATAGATGCAAAATATGTTTGGTGGTCAAGTGAACAGAGGAATATAAATAAATAAAAAATTTGGAATCTTACAATATATATTTTTTCTTTATTAATAAAAAGAGGCAAAAAGTATCACTTCTATGTGTAACTGAGATGTTCACAAGATAATTTGAAGGTATATAAGGGGTGAAGCTTCTCACCTGTTTCACACCCTGCCCTCATAGCTATTTTTCGGTTTCCAACATAGATGTCTTTCCCATCAATTTTACCATAGATACCTTCTCCAGGAAAATTTTCGAATTCCTCCACTTTGTCAGGCTTTGGATCAGCAGAATGTGACTGCCCGTATTCAACAAGTGCAGCCGCCATTGGATGACTAGACTTACTCTCAATGCTTGTAACCCTTTAAAGTATGCAGTACAAATTTCAGTTTCCAATGAAGTGCAGAATTTCCATATACAACGAATGAGTTCTCTAATTCAACTGAATCCAACCATCGTATATGATATAGCATTTGAGAGTATTCTCTTCCCCCTCCCCCCCTTCTCTCCCCTTTTTGGTAGCAATGAAGAAACCATTTGTTTTGCTAAAACTTATTTATGACATTAGCATTTCAAAAACATCATAAAAGACTTTTCTTCAATCTTATCTGCATCTCAAGGGATATTCAAGTCACTGCTCAAGAGCTCAAGATTCCTAGTATAAAAAACAAAATTTTGACTATATTTGATGACATGTACTTTTTCTGCCATGGGCAGCAACATTCAGTGATTTGTGTCACAGGGACCATTAAGACAGTAACAAAAGTTTTTCTACTTCCCAGTTCCATGAAATTTTTTCTGTCCTTTTTGTACTACTGACAATTCAGCATTGACTCTTTAAAATTCAAATATTGTTTTACTGAAGTTTCCCTATTTCTATGCAAAGAAATCAGAGAAAAAAAAGTAACCTTACCAGAAAAGTAATGTGTTAACGCTAACATCATCCAGAAGAGATCGAAAATCTGTCACTGTGAATTCTCCTCTAGTTATTGTCCCAGTTTTGTCAAAAGCCATGATCTGAATTTTTGCGAGAGTTTCAAGATATTCTCCCCCTTTGATTAGAAGTCCAGATGTTGCTGCCATCGAAAGTGCACAGAAAGTGGCAACTGGTGTTGAGAGGACAAGTGCACAAGGACATGCACTTACCAAAACAACCAAGGCCAAATGATACCATTGGTTCTCATTTTTAACTCTTAATGCAGTCGGAATAACTGCTAAACAAGTTGATATAAGCACAACGGCTGAAAAGTACAAAGTAAAACATCGAATAAGAACTTACGAATACTATTGCTTGCACTTGAGAGGGAAAAATAATAAACACAATAGAAGGTAGAAAATCACTTATGGTAACTGAACACAAAAATACTTTTAGGACGAACAAGAACTTCATTAGTTCTTGCATTAGGCGTAATATTTTTCTCACACATTATTATATTATCCATGATCATATTCTTTCACAAAAACTTTAATTGTGTCCCTTTTGTGGCAGTTAAAAGAAGGTACTGACAATTTTATCAAGGAAAGTAGCACTTGGCACTTTATATGGAGAATCATTTTTACTTGAATTCATTTCTCTAGCTCCATAAATTTGCTACTGAATCATCTTGGATTCTAATAACAAGATCAACCAACCTGGGGTGTAATACTTGGCACATTTGTCAACGATTCTTTGAGTTTTAGACTTCTTGTTTTGAGATTCTTCCACAAGCTTTGCCATTCTAGCCACCACAGAATCTTCAGCCAGAGTGGTAGTCCTTGCACTAATATAACCTAAAAGAAGATCAATCCTTGTTATTAAATCATCTCTTTATTGCTCCATTGAAATATTCAGACATAGAAAAGTGGAGGTTTACCATTTACATTGACTGTACCAGCCCAAACGGTGGAATCTTTTTGTTTGGAAACTGGAAACGATTCACCGGTCAAAGTTTTTTCATCTACTTCACATTTCCCTTCTACAACAATTCCATCAATGGGTATAATGTCACCGGCCTTAACAGCAAGAATGGTGTTCACTTGGACTGCATTGGCATCAATTTCTTCTCCAGTTTCAGCCAATACAGCTCTTTGAGGGACTATGTTCACCAGTGCTGACATGATAGCAGTGGCCTACAAAAAAAAAAAAAAAAGAAAAATTCCCACCTTCATTAGGATGCATAATCACAATAATACCTTGAAACTGAGAAGCAATTAGCAGGGCCTATCCAAGTTTGTTCAATAAGCAAATTTACTACTGTTTTTTCACCAGCCTCCTCGAGGGAAGGACTGAAATTTAGACAAGGCAAAGATACAGTTAGTAAAACTTTTAATATTCAGTCTTTGATATAACACTAATTTTGGGTTTATTTGACTATTCTCATCTATTATGGTCTATATAGTCCAATCCTTCACATCAGTTATATTTGCTAGATGTTAGTCACATAACAAATGCAATTCCATGTTGTTGTCTTTTATTGTGTGAATGCTACCCCTATTTCTGTGTTTTATGAATCGTACTTGCTTAATATATATCTGGAATTGTCCATTTCCAGTTTGCTTGTTTCCTTGTCACAATTATTTCCCCTGCTTCATTTTCATTCAACTGCATTTAATCCCTATAAGCAATCGCTACATAAATGAAAGCATATCCAGCATGCATCCATTTTCTTCCCCTTCTATCTCATTTCCCTATTCATCTTGTTCATAATGCTCTTTAAAGTCTTCGTTAATATAATCAGTGTTCAGAACATGAACTCATTGGCCCTACTTTTAAAACTTTTTTGGGTATTATGATACATAAAGAGTTGTCAATTGAAATTTTAAAATTGTACCATGTCTAATACCACAACATTTTGGATTCCCTTAAGTATCAAAAATCTTTGACTTTGCCAGTGGTAGGAAGTCTCTCAAAGCTAGATACTATCACAGCATTTCTGTCAATTAATTGAAATCTTCCCATTTTCCTCACTCTTCAATTCTAAAAAAAAAGAGGGGCTAAAAAGAAGCAAATTCGGGTGTGCTGTATTATTCACCTGTGCTTGTTTTCTTCTTTGTTCGATGATTTTCTAATTAACATTTGATCAGATAACCTAAATCTACATATAAAGCTCTTTATTGTAAATCTTTTGCTCAAATTAAATCTCGGATTCTATACGTGTGTAACTTTTCTTACCTAGAATATTATAGACACAAGTGTTATGTTTTGCTATTGCATTAGCTTTGGAAGTTAAAACAGTAAATGCACTTCTATATAAGCTTAATTTGCCTCAACCCTCCTAGATGAGTGTCTTGCAACTCTTATGAGGAAGAGAGAGAGAGAGAGAGAGAGGCCATTGTTTTTGCAAACCTTATGACTTGCTCTTGACTCGAGCCATTCTGCAATTGTAAATAAAAAGACAATTGAGCCGGCTTCCCAGTAATCATGTAGAGCAATAGACCCCACAACTGCAAAATATCGGGTACAATGTTTAAGAAACCATCTTAAAGTTATATATAATATGTATATATAAATTGCACTATGTGCAAGACAAATCAGCTTGGTATTTGAAATGCTAGCACTATTGAAGTGATTATAATAAAAATAGGTCACACGAAATCCCTAATGGTTCCAATCATTTCACTGGCCACAGCCACATTCCATTATTCCATACGTGTAAGGTGCAACTTAGGCCAATAAAGATACTGATCACCCCACCTGTTTTATCAACATGTAGTCCAAAAATCGAACAAGTTTTATAAATAAGCAATGACTAACCTGCAATTGAGTAGTTTTATTAAGCACTGTTTTTTGAATTAATTTGAAATCGAACAAGTTCTATATATAAGCAATGATTACTCACTTACAATCAGTTTCTTAATATACAAGGCATGTAATATTTTACTTTCTTTGGCCCACCTCCTAGACAAGATTGCCAAAAACATAATAAAAGCTATCAAATTGAAAATTAAAATTTCTGATGGAACTATTTTTTTTTTCATAAATAATTCAAATGGAACTTTATTTGTTGGATTTCCCTATCAATCAAATAGAACAAAGAAATTCAGTTGAGTTACTTTTGTGGCTACTGCAATGGATAATCAAGATATCAATATCACACGTCAAGTAATTTTAAATTTGACATCGTGCCAACTAACTTGACACGATGTTAAATTTAAAATTTACAAGATTTTAAAATAGTAATAATAATTTAGGTTTCAGTTCGATCTTTCACCTAAACCATTGGACAATTAATAGGTGACTAAATTGTGCTAACTACAGGATGGTTTGGTTAACTAAAAATTCAAAAATACCATCATTGGAGAAAAGGGACAGTTTATGGATCGAATTACCCATAGTTGGTGGAAGAAGTGGATCAGAGGACAAAATCTTTCAAGAAACAAATTTAATGCTTTTGACCTCCTTTGAATTTAACATCTCATAGAGGACCATAATTAAATTGCTCTATAATTAATAAGTTCCACTTTGCTAATAATTAATTGTCTAGTTGTAGAAGTTCAGCTTGGGTTGAAGGGCTAACTTCAACGGTTAAAAATCACGTGGTGGTTGTGTCTTGATAATCATTTAAGACAGTAAGATGTAGTCGTTAGAATTTGAAAGAAAAAGTTAAAAGATGATAATCAAATTGTAGAAAAACTTACATTATCAAATATGTCACCGGAGACAATAATGGAGAGCTAAGAATAGATGTAGTTAATGAATTAGAGTTTTGGCTGCAAGAGTAAACCATTTATATTGTATAGAGTTAAGTTTATGTGGGATACGAAACCATTCATATTTGGGAACCATTTCCTTCTATTACATTTTAAAGGAAAAAAGGTAGGCTTTCACTTTCAATTCAAAGTGACATCCTAACTAGTCCTAGTTTAGTATATATATATTGATAAACGCAACACATTAATAGTAATTGTTACCTGCAATTATAACAAGAATGTTGACATCAAGAGTGAGATTACGTATGGCAGCGGCACCTCTCATAGCAATGGGACAGATACCAATAGCAACTGCCCCAAGAGCCAGCCATTGAAATGGTCGGTAAACGTACTTTAGAAATGATAGCACAAGTAATATACCACAAGCAACTGTGTAAGGGCTTGGCCATTTTTTCTTGTAACTTCCCTCTCCATATAGTCTAACATTAGCTTCCAGCCTCGCTTTGTTTAGTGCCTTAACTGCAATAAATCAGACCAAGAAAAACAGTAATCAATATATTTTTATATACAATTTTTAAGCCCCTCCCTCAGGGAAAAAAAAAAATTTAAATAAATGAAATAAAAGAATGACATAAATTAGAAGCAATGGAAGGGCATTTTGGTAAAATGGTAAAAATGTTCACTATCAAAAATAATCAGAACATGTCAGTATTGCTATTATAGGCACACATACACAGGCATATAGCTATTATTATTTGTTAATTCCTAAATTACCTGCAATTATTAGGTAATCCTACCTAATATGTTATATAAGCTATCAAGCTGAACCCAAGAACTCTAGATTACACGAAAACTCTTACTCATGTCACAATCACAGATACGAATGTGAAAACTTATTTTTGAAATAGATGGAGTATTTAACACAACCATCTATTGAGATGAAATATATTGTTTTGTACTTATTTTATAACTTTTTGGTAAAAATTTAAGTATATTGTTATTTATCAATAAAGTATATTGTTATTTATCAATAAAGTTTAATTTACTTGATCAACACTATTATTGTGATAACACCGAAGTGGAATCCTAGAACTTTTTTTTAAATAAAGTTTACAATCATTCAAACCACTATATTATTTTACTAAAATCATGCAAATTTTTAGCTGACCCACCAAGTGTGTGTCATCTATTTTCGGTAAAGACCTAATAAGTGTGTGTCATCGTTTTTGGGTAAAGACACTAATAAGTGTGTGTCATTGTCCCATCATAGTGATGGGAACTTCACTTTCATGTTTTAGAGAATTCAAAAAATAAATATAAAAACCAAATTCACCAATTTGTTTAGAAATTAGTATATTTTTCAATGGCAAAAAATATATATATATATATATATATATATAAAATATATTTATAATTATAACAATAATAGTAAGTTAATTCTAAGTCACATCATTCTTCTCAAAAATATAATATTATTCTCAAGTTTGGCTCATCGGGCTCATTGTGCGACTTACATCGGCTTATCAGAATTCATCAATGAAGCTCCAACATGTGGCTTTGCATTCACCAATCATTACCACCAAACAAGTGGCCTTCGTAATCAATCTAACGCTACTAATGGACCCAACTTGACATTCTTCCAAGCAAATTTATATAAATATATACAATCATATATCACTATCATCATCGCAACAATTTAAAATAATAATAACGAAAAAAAAAAAAAGGAAAAAAAAGAAAAGTTGAAATAAACCGTACTCCTATGTCGCAAAAGTTATGCATGAGGTAGTGGAACATCAACCTCAATGATCTTGAAAAGGACATCTTGATCAAAGAAAAGGCAGTTTTGACATTGGAAGAAATTGACATGATGCAAAAGAAAACAAACACACACATACATACAAATATATATGGATATATAACAGAAATTGAGTATGACAAAGTAGTTTTGGGCAATTACCGATTTGAATTTGAGAAATGAGGAGACTATCATGTATAACAATGACCGTCTTTGATGGAACGATCACTGAAACATCTTTGACTCCATCAAGAGACTTGAGAATCTTTTCAATTAAAGGAACCTCTGATGAGCAGCACAAACCCAATACATCAAAGTAGCTTTTCTGAAACTTTTTGGCTGCCTTATTTTTGTCGCTAGCTGCAGCCATTTAATTATGTCTTTACTTTTCTGCAAAACAAATATATATATATATATATATATATATCAAAAAAAGAAAAAAAAAATATATATATATATATATATATATATATATCTGCAACAGAAAAAATAAAAGGAAAAACAAGTAGTAGAAGATGGAAATTAATTGTCAGTTTAATATTATACCAGATTATCATAATCCTACATAATGTAATTGGTTGAAGAAATAGATTTTGTATATGGGTATGAGAATTTGTTATGGAAATGTTTAGTAAATTAGAATAGAACTCAAAAAAAATGAACCCACAAATAATAATAATAATAATAATAATACTAATAAATCAGAGGAAAGGCAAATTTAGTTCTCTAATGCACAGATACATGGATATATGTATGTATGTATAGGCAAAGAGAGAATTATAATGAGTTAATCAAAACAAAATTGCTATAGAAATTTGAGTAATAACCCGTGCAACAACAGATGAATATGATATATATATATATATATATATATAGAGAGAGAGAGAGAGAGAGAGAGATTCCAACAGAAGAAGAGTTGAGAGCAGCCACCTGAGAAGCTAATGGGGTTGTTCAACCTTTGAAGAGAGTTGAAGCCTTTTAAAAGACATGTAAGTGGAGGGGGTTGTAAGAAAGGTAATGAAGCAAGTGTGAATTAACGTTTGAAAGGACACACTCACAGGAAAAAAAAAAATTCAAAATGGAATTAGAAATGTTCTTTGAGAGAATAATTGTATCACCTTTCTCCTGTGGACGAGACACAAATAGTGGAGAATCAGTTCAGGAATTGAATTGGAATCCACATGTGAATACCACATACATTTAATGGTTGTAATCTACAGGCATCCTCTTCTCAAATTGAAAGATATATATACAAATCATATATGTTTTGCATTTTACTCCTTCACTTTCGTTTCCTTTATATTAATAACAACTAACCCACCCCCATCTTTTAACTTTACCTTTTCTTTTGGTTAGGAGCTTTCCAACTTTAGCTCTCTTCTCCCATAACTCTCTCTATACACATGAAAACACACACGTATATAGGGAGAGAGCTTTAACACTTGGGAGTGGAGTAGTTGGTTAAGAAGGACGTTTGGCAAGGGCAGAGGTCCAAACAACCCTTAAGAGTCTGTTTGGAATTACTCTCCATCCAATAAAAATTGCTTTTGTTTTAAAATTTTCCGTTCGGTAATCATTAAAAATAATTTTAACTTGCTAGAATTTTTAATCAACTTAAAAATTTTAACTTTTAGAATTGCATTTTGAGTTGAGATTTTTATTTTTTTGGTGAGGATTTTTCTTTAGACAATTTTATGCATTTTTATTTTTTTTGGTAAAAGTAATGCCACCATGGAGTCATGACACTTGTCATGGGCTCACTTTTAAATTATCACATTTTGAAAACAAAAAGAACAAATTACATTATTAGTCAAGGAAAATAATTCTTGCACCGAATAGTTGCAGTAAATTACTAGACTTACTCTTTTAATTGGTCAATTATGTAACAAATAAGGAAATGAAGCCCTCCAATTAGTTGTATTTAATATAAATAGCCAATTAAAAATTATTTCTGTTAGATAATTCACTACAAGTGTTCGGTGTAAGTATCACTGCTCATATTCAAATGTAAGGGTATTGCAGATTACTAAGGAGATTTTGTGGAGACAAAAGTTTAGAGTTTTGTAGCTCAAGGAAGGAGACAATAGTACGAAGTTTTTCATAGGCTTGCCAATGCTTATAGACGGGGCAATTTCATTGGGAGGATCCGGGTGGATGGGGAGTTGTTTTGTAAGGAGGAGGAGATTTGTAAGGGTATTGTAGATTACTATTCGATTTTGTTTACAGAATCTGCTGGTTGGAGACCATTGCTTGTAGGGCTTCATTTTGACTCTATTTCAAGTGAGGAGTGTTCTACTCTAGAGGAACCTTTTTTCTGAAGAGGAAGTTTTGTCTGCAGTGAGGAGCTGTAATGGGGATAAAGCCCCAAGTCCAGATGGATTTTCCATGAGATTTATTTCAGAGTGTTGGGAGGTGGTTCGAGAAGAGGTGATTGGCATTTTTTTCACACTTTCTTTGCTCAGGGATTGTTTGAGAAGAGTTTGAATGCCACGTTTATTGCTTTCATTCCGAAAAAGGGAGGGGTGTTAGATATTAGGGACTTTTGCCCTATTAGCTTGGTGGGTTGCTTTTACAAGTTGATTGCTAAAGTCTTGGCTTCTAGGTTGAGGAAGGTCTTGGATGATGTTATTTCTGATTCTCAGAATGCCTTTATGGGCGGTTGTCAGATTTTGGATTCAGTTCTTATTACTAGTGAATATGTGGACTTCAACTTGAGTAGTGAGATTCTGGATGTTTTATGCAAGTTGGACATCGAGAAAACGTACAATCATGTGAGCTGGAGTTAATTTCCTTTTCTACTTGATGGAGATGATGGGATTTGGGGAGTATTGGGGAGGTGGATTCTGTTTTGTATTTCTAGTGCTCGGTTATCTGTCCTTGTGAATAGAGCTCTGACGGGTTTCTTCTCTAGTTCGAGGGGTTTGAGACAAAGAGATCATTTGTCTCCGTTCTTTTTCCTCTTTGTGATGGAGGCCCTTAGCAAGTTGATTCAGAGGGCGGTTGATTTGGGTTGTTTGATAGGCTTTCGAGTGGGCAGGGATGTTGCTAGTCAGTTGGAGATCTCCCGCTTGATGTTTGCTAATGATACTCTTATGCTTTGTGATGCTAATGCGTACCAGTTGAGATATCTGAGATGCGTCTTGGTTTGGTTCCAAGTAGTTTCTGGGCTTAAGGTGAATATTAGAAAAAACATTCTTATGCCGGTTAGGGAGGTTCCTGAGATTGAGATGTTTGCACAGATTCTTGGATGCCGCACTGGCTCATTTCCCATTTCTTACCTAGGGTTGCCCTTGGGTGCTCCTTCGAGGTGTGTGGAGAGCTAGGATCCAGTAGTGGATAGATTTGAGAAAATGCTAGCGGGTTGGAAGAAACAATATCTCTCCAAAGGGGGTCGAGTCACGTTGATTAAGAGCACCCTTTCATGCGTCCCCACTTATTTATTCTCTTTTTTTTTAGATTCTTGTTTCTATGGCTGAGAGGATTGAGAGGTTGCAACGCAATTTTCTTTGGGGAGGGGGGGGGGGAGGAAGGGACAGGAGAGGAGTTCAAGTTTCACCTGGTTCTTTGGGAGCAATTGTTTTGTCCGATTCAGAGTGGTGGCTTAGGGATTAGGAGGTTGTTGTCTTTTAATAAGGCTCTCCTTGGAAAGTGGCTTTGGAGGTTTGGGGTTGAGAGGCGTTGGCTCTGGAGGAGGGTTGTTGCACACAAGTTTGGGGAGAGTAGAGGAGGGTGGAGTTATCTTGAGGTACTTGGTTCTAGGGGGGTGGGGGTTTGGACTTTCATTCGGAAGGGGTGGGATGATTTTTATAAACATGTTAGTTTTCAGATCAGGGATGGTAGAAGGATCAAATTTTGGGAGGATCTTTGGTGTGGGGAACTTCCTTTTGCTCCGCGTTCCCACGGCTTTACAGGATTACTTTTCATAGGTAGGCTATGGTGGTTGACTGTTATCATCTTAATAACGGGAGACTCACTTGGGATGTTTAATTTAGGAGGCATTTTCAGGACTGGGAGATTAAGGAGGTCACCCGTTTTTTGGAGTTGTTGTACCGCCAGGTGATTACAGCTGGGGATTCGGATTGTTGGCTTTGGGACCCTAATCATTAGGGTCGCTTCGAGGTTCGGTCCTTTTTTAGGTGTCTTTCGGTTAGTTCTGGAGGCCATTTCCCTTGGAAGTCTATTTGGCGCTCCAAGGCTCCCCTCAAGGTGGTCTTTTTTGCTTAGACTTTTGTCTTGAGGAGGATTTTAACCCAGGATAATTTGAGGAGGAGGAATCAGGTGGTGGTTAATCAATGTTATTTGTGCCTGCGGGACGAGGAGACAATTGATCACCTTCTGTTACATTGCAGCATGGCTAGGGGATGTTGGGATTTGATGCTGGGGTTATTTGGGATCCATTGGGTTATGCCTAGATCATCTAGAAAGTTGATTGAGGCTTATAGAGGCTACTCAATGGGGCCCTCATTCGGGACGCCTGGAGAGCTACTCCTCTTTATATTTGGTGGTGTATTTGGCTCGAGAGAAATCGGAGATATTTCGAAGGGAAGGAGAAGCCTATTGCTTTGCTTAAGTTCTCTATTATTTCCACTCTTTTTTATTGAGTTTCAGGGAGAGATTTTAGATCTGTAGAGGAGATTGTTGTTTTTTTGGCCACTTTGAAGGCTTGAGGCTTTTTAAGCCTTGTATTTCCCTGGGATTCACTTTCCTTTTGAGTGCTTTTATTGAATTTTACTTTTATATATATATATATATATATATATATATATATATATTAAAATGGTCTCGTTGTAAAAAATCAGCTCAAAATATTATAAAATACAATTATACAATATGGCCAAAATTGATAATGTAATTTTGTCAAATGAAGTCAAAATAAAAAGTATGTAATTGTGAAAAATATTTTAAATAATATATCATTAAAATAAAAACAATAAATCTTACTCTGCTGAATTGATCCTAAATTCGTAATCATCCCCAACGCACCACAATAAAATAGCGGTGCACTGGAAAACGTTATGGATTCTTAATCCGGTCTGATTTCAATTTATAATAAGATAAGGTTAGATAAACTAATTAAAAAATTGTTATGGATGTTACAAGAATATCCCTCTTGGCCTGGTGATCTAGTCTAAAATACTTGCCATTGTTATGGATGTTACAAGAATATCCCTCTTGGCTTGGTGATCTAATCTAAGATTCTTGCCGATTTTATCTAGTGTTTATGTAAAGAGTAGTGACAGATAAATCGGAAATTTATCTCCATCGATTATGTGTTTTTGTCGGGTCAATTCTGTTTTTCAAAAAAAAAAAATTTAATTGTTCAACAAATATAAAGACAAAATTCCCTCAATATTAAATCTTATTAAAAAATAAGATAAGGCTAGAAAAACTCATTAAAAATTTGTTATTGTGTAACAAGAGTATCCCATTTTACTAGGGCTGATCACGGATCAGATCGGTTCGGTTTTGAGTAAAATTCAAACCAATTCAGTCCTCATGGATTGACTAAATCTGAAACCGAACCAATCCATGGGGATTACCAATCCAAGCCAAACCGAACCGTAAAAAAACGGATTGGTTTGGTTCGGTTCCCACGGATTGAGCTTTTTCAAATAGCCCAATATAATTATATTGTAGTTATGGCTCAACCCAATATATGATTATACTTTACTATTTTAGTTATGGCTCAGCCCAAACAATAAATCTTTCAAAACAGTATGTTGTAACACATTTAATCTAAAAACAAATAAGGAATAAAAAAAATAAATAGAAATAATATATTACAGTATACATATAATTATATAATATAATTCACGGATCGGATCGGTTAACGAATCAGTTCGGTTTTTTCAGGATTCAATTCGTTAACCGAACCACTCATTACGGATTGCTAATTTTTAAAACCATCACTGAACCATTAGATCAAAAAACCGAATCGAACCACACTAATCGAATTAGTTTGGATTGATTTGACGGATTAGCGGGTTATTTGAACACTCCTACATTTTACCCCAGTTATCGGATAAAAAAAAACAAAAAAAGAAAAAGAGTATCCCATTCGGCCTTTGGTGAGGTGATTTAATCTGAGATACTTGCCGACTCCTTCCTTTTAAGTGTTTGCGTAAACAGCAGATATATCAATCGATTTTTATTGTTATTGGCAATTATATCATTTTGATGATAATGTAAAATTTTTATATTAAGTTGTAATAACCTCTACTGACAAAAGATTTCTTAACTGAAAGAGCTCAGTTCCATAAGGAATGAGAATCAATGCAATCTTCATTTTATAGTTTTAATTTGTCATGGTCACCCAGGTTAGACTACACAGGTGGTTTGTATCATTGTATGGTGAGCTCAATGTTATTAAATAATCTAAAATTAACATCTACTTTTTTTTAACTTTATATAGGGAGGGTATATGAATAAAAAGTACATAGAAACTATCACTTCTTTCCATCAAACCAAAAAAAAAAAAAATGTGTCACTCGATTAACTCTTTTTGTCATTCCTTTTATTTAACCAAACAAAAAGTGAATGGATACATTTTTTCTTCCATAGAGATACTTCATTCACCCCTTCCTCTCTCCCTTTCATTCATTTTCCATCCCTCCAACCGAACGGAGCATATGCTATGTTTGGTTGGAGGGAATGATTGAGGTGGGTTGATGAGAGGAGGGATGGATAAATATTTTCGTGTTTAGTAGGAGGAAATGAAAGAGAGGAAGGAAAAAAGGAGGGGTGCCTCATCCCTCATTCCTTTATGTTTTCAATTTTAACATTTTCAAAAAAATTGAAATGAATATCTACCTTTTATAATTTTATATAATGAGAGTGCATTAGTAAAAAGAATATAAAAACTCTCATTCACTTGCTTCTAACCAAACAAGAAAAAAGTATCACTCCATTCATTATTTATACCATTCATTCCATTCAACCAAACAAAAAATGAGGAAGACACATTTCTTTCCCTAGAGATACCTCATCCATCCCTACTCCGATCTCTTCTATCCACTTTTCCATCCCTCCAACCAAACGAAACATTAGAGTTTATCTTAAGGCTTAATTACAGTCTTTTCCAAAACTATTAACAAACTCTGGTCCCTCCTCCCTTGTTCCCACTCAATTTTTTCCCACCCACTCCCACTCAATTTCAATTTGAACAAAACCTGTGTATTAAATGGCTAAAATTCCAAAGATGAACCCAAATTTTCTTTGCTTTTTTTTTCGCTTTCTTTCTTTTTTTAAGTAGGTAAAGTCTCACACGTTCAATCCGTTTTGAATTGAAACGGCTAAATGACATGAAAAAAAAGACAAAACGAACGTATTTACGTGTATAATCCGTATATGTTATATTTCTAATTGTGATACGATAGTTAGGCCAAACCAAAACCTGCTTTCAATTGTACTGTTTCCATTTGGTCTAGCTATTTTGTTACTAGAATACATTAAAATTTCATATCTGAATGTGTATCAATAAGTTCTACACTTAATCCTTTATTATTTTCTTAGCCACACATTAATCATGCATATATTGATAACTTGCATGTGATTGAAATTGATTTTCATCTATTTTCTCCATACATTGGGATGGGTCCAAATGTCATTTCTTTTACCATTCCAAATGAATTGCCAAAAGCATATTATCTGGTGCTATATTGCGTAATTTGAACCATCAATCTAAGGGCCAGACGGTTTCAACTTTTCTAATTCCTTGTAATGTTTATATGTTTTGAAATTTGTTTGTATCCAAATGCAACCAACGAAAAATTCACTACTTATCTTGATTCGTAGTTACAGTGTAATGAACTCGAATTCATATTAATACATATAACGTAATGAAATTGATTAAAATTATAGAAAAACACAATGACATGTTAATTTTTGCTACGTAATTATATTTAAAAGCTAAGTATCTAAAATTTATTGATCCTTATTTAGTAACCTATTTATAAATTCTAAGTCTTTGTCTTAATTATAACGGCTTAGTAATTATATTTTTACTGCATTTAACAAATAATAATAAATTCAAGCATGAAATGAATCAAAGTTCGTACTATATATAACACGTGAAAATTAAAAATTAATATAAAAATTAATCTCCAAATCAAAAGTATAAGAAAATTATAAAACAACATATACATTATAGGGCTAAGTATTTAAAACACTCCTAAGATTTACGTTTTGAGCAAATAACACCCATCTATTTTACTTTGGATATATAACTTTTTCAAGAATTTAAAAATGTTGTAAAGAATGACTTTTCGGTTGTTATTGTTAACAATGTATCGTTAAAAAAACATGTGTCTAGCACATGACTGAT